AAATTATCCCAAGTGAACAACATTATGAGCAACAACACCATTATAACTATAAATAATATTTGTCAACTACAAACATGGTTAAAAAAATTGCAACTCACCAAGACATTATCCACACACACACACACACACACACATATATATATACCAATCCTAAATTGAGGATTTTACCTAAATGTGGGACCTTAAGCGATCGTTTGATTTTGAGCCGATTTTATGGAGACGAGTATGGATTAATTTCTTGATGTTAAACCAAAGTTACTCATATTGAGCTACCTAATGAAGATCAAGGAACATGGTAATCATGCATTTTTTAACGTACATAAATAAGTAGGAGTGATTTAAATACTCACACGTAAACTTAAAATTGAGCGAAATATTGAATTTTCAAATTTACCGTGGGAGCAAGTAATCCCATTGTCACCACTGTAAATCCGCCCCTATCTGGAGCCCATAATTTTATATTTTATATTTATATAGATATGTTTATGTATTTTAAATTCTTTCTCAACATTTTCATTTTATAATTAATGGACGAATAATTTGCATTCTAAAAAGTGCAATAACAAGGAAAATAAGAAAAATACTTGCATTTCATTCCATTTTCATTTAAACAGTTCCATGTGGACCCCATGAAATTTTCAAAATGATGGAAGTTCAACTGTTAGACATTATTGTCAAAAGTTTATTACAAATTATCATCAATACTATGGATTACATTTAGTTAAAAAATGAAAATACTAATGATACTTACTGTACTCGTAATCTATATGAATACTTTTCAATAATAGTGTGCTTCAATTTGTATCATACTCATCTCCCAAGTAAAATTTCTTTTTGAAATTACTTTATAAGACCATACATTACAAAAGGTAACCTAACGTACATCGAACTGATCGAGATGAATGATCCAACCCTCAGTCCTTGTCATTAAATACTCGTGCTCCATTTCCTAAATTGTTAGAGAAAAAAATGTGAATAATAATTCAACGAGTAGAGGCATATTCATGTGATTTTTTTTGGGCATGAGTTTATTTTAGTACGTCATTTATATCAGTAAGACATAAAACATGATTCTTTATTCTCGAGCATGTCATCATAATTGTTCATCATTCATAAACTTCTTTCATTGATCTGAATCATTCAATAACTTGTAACATGAGCATCGTGATCGATTTTGATCACTTCAATAACTTGTAACATGATCTTAATTGTGTGATCGTTTTCGTGTCATTATTATGATCGTGAGTGTATGGTCCTTATCGTGTCATTTCGTTGGCATACCAATAACCCGTTATTCATTCGTTATAAAATATTTAATGTAAAAGAAAGGTGTACTCAAGTTAACTTTAAATATATAACATGAACATAATTCCATTTAATATAAACTACAGCAAGAGATTTGAGAGATTCATAAAAATATAGATATTTATGGAAAAACATCAATACTAAAACCTTCAGTGGAGAAAAAAAAAATTTATATGAAATTCGTTCATAAATTTCAACTCTACTCATCTAATATTCGTGTAATTTGAACGATTGGGACCCAATAACGACTATATTTTCAATTTTAATTGGATTTTAAGTTTAGCTAAACATGCTCCTAACCTTTTTATTCATTTCTAGGTAATTATATTGATCGCCGGCAATAAACTTTGCACTTTGTGTAACATTGGTCAACGAATTTTAATTTGTTTGACTCATTGCTGAAATTTATTAAATGTTTAATTTATATCACTAATTCGGGACCAGCTTAGCATCACTTTTGAGAAGTCAAAAAGAGTTTTTGAGAACAAAAGTTACTTTTGAACATGTTGGATTAATTTTATAAAAGCGTTTTTACTAGTTAAAAGGAATTGTAGAGAAAGCTGACTCAGTGTGTCTTTTTCTAAAAACTCTTCTAAAAGAAAAATGATGTTTTAAAAATTAAAACATCAATTAAGATAATTTTCTCGTAAAGTCTTTTTACAAGAAACATAAATCCTGGCAAATAATCTCTCAATATGACTTTCATTTTTAACCAAAAAAAAAATTCCTTCATGTTCATGTGCCAAATCATTGAATCGATAAATTTTAGTTATATTCTACAACTTGACACATGAACAAGTCTATAGAATATGTACGATAATACATCAAATTATAAATTATCATGTGTATGTCACATAAGATGACTATATATAATTTTCGCTATGAATAGTATTATTATTGAAAATGAGTTAACCCTTCGTACCCCCAAATTTCCTTTCAAATACAAATCCCACCTTTCTCTTCCCATCTTCTAAATTTGGGTTAATTTCACAAACGGTCACTGAACTTACCTAAAAATTACAAAACGGTAATTGAAATTTAAAACTTACAGAAACGATCACTGAAATTTCATGCACTATCACAAACAGTCACTGAATTTTTAATTTGTTTCACAAATAATCACTGAAGGACTATTATGATTTTAATTCAAACTTAAAGGACCAAAACAAGTGGACATAGAAGCTTGACCACCTCAAATGCAAATTTCTTGCTATTAAGTGCCATCTTTGGAGTCTCGAATCACCACCTTCCAGCCACCAAGACCACCGATCCGACCACCACGTGTCTCACCTCACTCTCCTCTACAACATCTAACCAACCGTCAGCCACAAAAAATCATGAATCAGCAGAAAATCGAGCCTAAAAACCCCATCTCGTGAACTCCTTTTCTACCAGAAAACCCACCTCTGACGATGCCCATGCTAATAACACCCCACAAGTCGCTCAAGCTCAACATGGCGCATCCATAAATGGTCCTATTACATCAAATAACACATAAAATCTAAATCTACAGCAGAATTTCGAATCAGGGAACTTGCGGCTAACAATCACATTTTTTCTCGGCGACTATGATGGTCCCCACGATCGCGGACCGCCTATTCTGGCATCCTCCCTTCATGGCGCATCTACTCCAACCACTGGTCATCAACAATTTGGGCTCAATGTGGACGAACGGGCTAGGACGCAAGGCAATCCGTTTTGTCCTCCATCGATTGAGGTTTCTACACTACCCCAATCGTCAAATTCGGCCTTAATACATTCAATTCAAGTTGGTAATACACTAGGTCATGAATCAATTGCACAAATTAATTACCAAATAACATGGGCGTCGTTGGAGGTGGGTTTTCCAGCAGAAAAGTTCACGAGATGGGGTTTTTGGGCTTGATTTTCTGTTGATTCCTGATCTTTTGTGGCTGACTATTGGTTGGAGGTTGTAGAGGAGAGTGATGCGAGATTAGTGGTGGTCGGATCCGATGGTCTTAGTGGCCGGAATGTGGTGATTCGAGGTTCCAAAGATGGTACTTATTAACAAGAAATTTGCAATGAGGTGGTTAAGCTTCTATGTCCTCGTGTTTTAATCCTTTAATTTTGAATTAAAATCATAACGGCCCTTCATTGACCGTTTGTGAAACAAATTAAAACTTCAATAACCATTTGTGAAAGCGCATGAAACTTCAGTGAACGTTTTGTAATTTTTAGGTAAGTTCAGTTACATTTTGTGAAATTAACCCTCTGAATTTGGAAGAATTATTATGGATCCCAAAAAAACTCAATCGCCGCCTTCATTAATAGCTCCAGCCACAGAAAGATCGAGCTTCACCGAGCGATTCTAAATATTTATATGTAAACAGGACAAAAAAATTAAAAATTAAAAATCGGATAATAATCTCATCAGGTACGTTTTTTTTTATTTTTTTCCCGATTTCCCAATATCTCATTCCCAATATCTCATTTTCCTTCTTTCTGATCTTCAATTTATTTACAGTTCTTTTCTTTGATCAATTCCCTTCGACTTTTCATTTTTTATCAAGGAATCAAAAACAACAAAAAATAAGTAAGGATGAATTCGAGTTATGGAAAATCTAATAACAAGTCTGGATCAATGGATGCTTTTGATTTCGATCTTGGGATCGGGACGGGACGCCCCAAATCTTTGAATGATCAGAAAAACCAGACTTCCTCATTTCATTTTTAACCAAAAAAAAAATCCTTCATGTTCATGTGCCAAATCATTGAATCGATAAATTTTAGTTATATTCTACAACTTGACACATGAACAAGTCGATAAAATATGTACGATAATGCATCAAATTATAAATTATCATATGTATGTCACATATGATGACTATATATAATTTTCGCTATAAATAGCATTGTTACTTAAAATGAGTTAAGCCTTTGTACCCCCAAATTACCTTTCAAACACAAATCCCACATTTCTCCTTCCTATCTTCTAAATTTAGGTTAATTTCACAAACACATACTGAACTTACCTAAAAATTATAAAACGGTCGCTGAAGTTTAAAACTTACAGAAACGATCACTGAAATTTCATGCTTTTTCACAAACGGTCACTGAAGTTGTAATTTGTTTCACAAACGAATGTCGTGATTCGAGGCTCCAAATGTGGCACTTAATAGCAAGAAATTTGCAAATGAGGTGGTTAAGCTTCTATGTCCACGTGTTTTAATCCTTTAAGTTTGAATTAAAATCATAACGATCCTTCAGTGACCATTTGTGAAACAAATTAAAATTTCAGTGACCATTTGTGAAAGCGCATGAAATTTCAGTGATCGTTTCTGCAAGTTTTAGACTATAATGACCGTTTTATAAATTTTAGGTAAGTTCAGTGATTGTTTGTGAAATTAATCCTCTAAATTTGGAAGAATTATTATGGATTCCAAAAAACTCAATCGCCGCCTTAAGTAATAGCTCTAGCCACAGAAAGATCAAGCTTCACCGATCGATTCTAAATATTTATATGTAAACAGGACAAAAAAATTAAAAAAATTAAAAATCGGATAATAATCTCATCAGGTACGTTTTTTTTTTTGGTTTTTCCCGATTTCCCAATATCTCATTTTCCTTCTTTCTGATCTTCAATTTATTTACAGTTCTTTTCTTTGATCAATTCCCTTCAACTTTTCATTATTTATCAAGGAATCAAAAACAACAAAAAATAACTACAAGTAAGGATGAATTCGAGTTATGGAAAATCTAATAACAAGTCTGGATCAATGGATGCTTTTGATTTCGATCTTGGGATCGGGACGGGACGCCCCAAATCTTTGAATGATCAGAAAAACCAGACTTCCTCATACACGCATTCATCTGCGTATTCGAAGCCCAGTACTACACCGGCTTGGACCCATAAACCGGTGAATCCCGTCCAGTCTAGCGGATCTGGGTCTATATCCGGTCCGACGTCCATGGTAGGAGATATTTTCGGGAAGAGCTGGAATTCTTCGGCTCCGATGAAACCTGGTGGCTCGGGTATTGGGATTGTGAATAGTAAGAACCCGAATTTGTTTGGGGATTTGGTGAGCTCGGCAATAGGTGGCAACAAGAGCAGCAGCAATGTGCCCCTGAAAGACGCAGCTCCAACTGCAAATAAGAGCACGTTATCGATGGGAGGAATGGCTGATTCATTGCCCAAAATGGGCAGTTCTGTGAAAAATGGTGGAAGTTCGGGGACTAATGTTAGTAATAGTGGTGGAACTATGGATTGGGATGGAAGTTATGTAAGGAGTTCGAGTCTTGGTGATGGAATGGGCAGTTCTGTGAAAAATGGTGGGAGCTCAGGGACTAATGCTAATGATAGCAGTAGAACTATGGATTGGGATGGAAGTTATCTGAGGAGTTCGAGTCTTGGTGGTGGGAATACTACTAAGAGTTCAAATCTAGGTGGTCCGTCTATGAAGAGTATGGCAGGAAGTGGTGGTATGAGTTCAAATAAGGACCCTTTTGGATCTTTGTTTGATTTCAGCTCTAAGCCAAGTGGTAGTATGAACTCAGAGAATAAAGGGAGCAAGAAGGGTGGTGTTGAGGACGAGTTTGGGGATTTTAAAAATGCGACTCCAAATACAAGTGGGTCGTCATTTCCATCGAGTGCTTTTTCCACGATTAATAGCGATCCAATGGGTGATTTTGGGTTTTCAAATCCCCAGTCACTGAATCAAAGTCAGCGATCAGGGAAATCTGTGGGGGTAAATGATTTTGACACATTGTTTTCTTCTTCCGGTGGCAGTGCAAACCGGAGTCAAGGATTTGTGAACCAGCAGTTTTCAGGGGGTGATGATTGGGGTATGGATTCAGAATTTGGAGGGCATGATACTGGTGGGACCACTGAGATTGAAGGGCTTCCACCCCCACCTGCCGGAGTTACTGGTTCGGCTGCAAAGACTAAGGGTATGGATAATCACAAGCAGGGTCAGTTTGCTGACGCTATCAAATGGTTGTCTTGGGCTGTCATTCTTCTTGAAAAGGCTGGCGACGATGATGGGAGTATGGAGGTTTTAACCTGCAGAGCTTCATGTTACAAGGAAGTTGGGGAGTACAAAAAGGCTGTGGCTGACTGCACAAAGGTATGATTGTTTTGTTAAATATGTCATCCCTTAATTTCTGTTTATCGAATTAATTTGTGCTGTCTATGGGGACCTGACAATTAGAATGAAGCTCTGCATTTGGAATGAGAGGATATAATTATTGCTTGATTCAAAATTATGTTGGTTCTAATTATTGCTTCATTTCATATTGTAGGAAAACTTTAAAGATAAGTCATCGTATGATTCCTGGAAGATATCTGTATAGATTGCTAATGTTATTGAAGGGCCTTGTACTATTCCAAATTGAAACACACTTCCATGCTCATTTGAAATCAATGGTTAAATTGTGAAGAGACGATAAAGCTTATTTTTAAACTATAAAATGATTTTGATTCTCACTTAAAAGGAGATGATAGAGCTTGCTTTTCAAATCTATTCTTGCTGTTTCTACAAGCAATTTTTGTAAAAGTGGTGTGCTTTTTCACCAGATCATAAATTTCACTAGGTTCAGTTTACCTGCAATATTTATTTTTTATGAGTTTTCCTGTTTCACCTTTTATAATTGGTCATTGTGCCCCTTTGTGAGCATTTTCCTAAGAAATATAGGACATATTGATCATTCTTACTGATGTATCAACATTTATCAATTCCTCAATTCATTTCCTACCAAGGCATTTTATTTTCATTTGTAACTGGCCACGATATACCCTCCATCTTCTACACCGCAATCTAACAGACCATAATGCTATTGAGAGGGCCTGCCACTGTGGACATGACACCACCTTGCAATTCTTTATTTATACTCTCTTGCCACCAACCAGTATTGTGTCTCTATATTCAAAAACACAATCAACCCATCAAACTACTCCCTAATACTGATAACATATCTCCTTCAACTCCCAGCCCTGTATTGAAGTCAAAGTTTTGAATCAGTCATAAAATCATTGACACCCAGAAAATTTCTACCAACAGCATCCCCCTTCCATCTTCTACCCCCCAATGTCCAACAAAGCACAATGGCAAGAGAAGTAAAGAGAACTTCATGAAATCCCCTCCCCTCCCCTCCCCTCCTTGTTCTAATTTCTTTTATCGCTACAGCAAATCAACTCCATCACCACATCAATTGTGTACTACAACATGGTCTATTTGTATGTTTGCGCATGCGTCTGTATAAGGGATGGGGTGAGGTTGGGGTACAGAGGACTGGTCTGAGTGCGCACAAGTGAATGTCTGTGTGCTTGTGCGTGAGATATAATGAAAGAGGCTGATGGATGGCAGCTCTGTTATGGACAGACTTCTGCAGATCTGCAATCTCCCCATTTTAATTTTCATGTTATTTTTCTTTGTCCATTCTGCAATTCAGTGTCTAGCTCTGCCTCGAGAATATGCATATACCAATCAAAGTGTCATGTTGAAATTTAGCCCCTGTTTGGTGGATATTATTTTGAGAATAGATTTTGTGAAAAGTGATTTTTTTGGAGAATGTGCGGTTAAAAAGTAAGGAAATGTTATGATCCATGTTTAAAATTATTTGTTGGGAGAATGTGCAGTTGAAAATGAGTTTGGGGAAAAATGAATTTCGAAAATGGGGACCAAACAGGGGCTTACTGATGAACTACTTTGGTTGTTTCTGTAATTTTAATTAAAAGTCCCTCTTATTTTATATTTGCTATACATGCTTTGCAGTCTGTCTCAAAAAGGGAGTTTATGAAGTATGAGTTAATTGGGATGTGCAAAGGAAGCGTCATATTGTGGATGTCCTAATATATTGCCAATTGCTTTTCTATGAACACTACTCCATAGTACCTCCATATTTGTGTTATGGCGTCATTTCATTGGTATTGCTTTGCCCATCAGGATAAGAAAGGCTCATAGGCTGCATTATCTTTGTGCAGGTGCTGGAACACGATGACTCAAATGTATCTGTCCTCGTACAACGTGCTCTTCTTTATGAGAGCATGGAGAAATACAAGCTTGGGGCGGAAGACCTCAGGACCGTTATGAAACTGGATCCTGGCAATAGAGTTGCTAGAAGTACCATTCATCGTTTGACTAAGATGGCTGGCTATTAGAGAAGTTCCAAATGATATTCTCTCTTCACCTTCCATACCTGTATGACTGATAACATGATTACCCATCTTAATACAGTAAGATGGAAATCATTATTCCATATTTCTTGGAAATTTAGTATTGAGTCGCTTGTTGGTTGCTAGTGATTACTTACAAATACTGATTTATACTCACCTGTGAAAGGAAGTTGTCCATTTTGTTTCTAGGATTGCTTTGTATTGACCATTTTAAACCTCAATTTTTTTTCCTGCAGTGATGTTTCTTGAACGTGTGGTAGATTCCTTTTGAAGAGTTTGGTTGAGTAAAAGTCATTTCTGTAAAAAAATAAGTTACAAGATGAGCTTCAAGAAAATGATACAAAGTTCTTGTATGACGAAACCATGTAATATCATACACGAACACGAGATAGATCTTCCACATGACAAGGCTTTTTCATATGTAAAAATGAAACAGATCTTTCAATTTGTGAAAAATTATGCTTAATTTTGAAAAAAAAAATATATAGTGTTTTTCTTACAAATTAAATAAAAGAAAAGGCGATCATTAAATGTCGTTCAGTAACATGTTTCTCTGGGAAAAGGCAGTTAATTAGTTTTTGAATCCGACTATATTTTGCTGCTAATAACTTTGTCATATTAATTAATTTTATCAAAAATAAATGAAAATGAGACAAGAAATCAGAATCATTAACGAAGTTGTTGAAAATATTGGGTATCTTAACTTTTAAAATTTAGGAAGAAACGAGTTAAACTATACTTTCATAAGTGTTTCTTACCTTTTTTTCTTGAAATATTTGGATGGAACCACCTATGTTGGAACAGAATAAAAAAAACATTCTGTAATGATCATGTCTTTTAATTGAAAGACTTTTGCTCCTATGTGTATAGACAAATTTGACTAATCAGTTATTCTATCCATGGATTTCTTTTGTAATGCAATTATTGTTGTGTTAAAGAACCAATTATTACAAAATATTATCAGTTTTAGTCTGCAGGATATTGAAGTGCAATGAAAAAATCCCATGAAAATTGTATCGAGTTGATTGTTAATGATTTATTCAAGGAAGCATTTTTTTCTAAGACGTCTATACTAGAAATAGCTGGTCGGGGCAAGACCAAGGATACAAAGGGAATGTCATGATTAAGTAACACCGTGATCGCCCTCACAACGATCAGAATAAAGTAAAGCTTGAAATTTATTAGTTCCACAACCTGTCTAGTTTTGGTGGACATTGGCTGCAGCAATAAACGAAACACGGAAAGGCTTCTTGTTTTGCCATCCCTTTCAAAAGAAGTATTAGATGTTACTATGAGAAAATTCATTTTAGGCTTTTCCTTTCACCAAACATAGAGAAAATTCATGTGACGCTAGCTCTTGATCAATTCTCACATATTAGAAGGGGTTTAGGGATTATTGATGAATCCGAAATAAGTAAATCAATTCTCATTTTCAACCACACATTCTTCAATAAAATAATATTTTTCACCACATCAATAATTTTTTCTTCTTTTTCAACCACACATTTCCCATCATATCACTATTCAAAAATCAATTCTTTCCCCAAAAATTCCTACCAAACACACTCTTAATTAGTTTTTGAATCCGACTATATTTTGCTGCTAATAACTTTGTCATATTAATTAATTTTATCAAAAATAAACGAAAATGAGACAAGAAATCAGAATCATTAACGAAGTTGTTGAAAATATTGGGTATCTTAACTTTTAAAATTTAGGAAGAAACGAGTTAAACTATACTTTCATAAGTGTTTCTTACCATTTTTTCTTGAAATATTCGGATCGAACCACCTATGTTGGAACATAAAAGTTAAAAAAACATTCTGTAATGATCATGTCTTTTAATTGAAAGACTTTTGCTCCTATGTGTATAGACAAATTTGACTAATCAGATATTCTATCCATGGATTTCTTTTGTAATGCAATTATTGTTGTGTTAAAGAACCAATTATTACAAAATATTATCAGTTTTAGTCAGCAGGATATTGAAGTGCAATGAAAAAATCCCATGAAAATTGTATCGAGTTGATTGTTCATGATTTATTCAAGGAAGCAGTTTATATATTGTTTCTATACTAGAAATAGATGGTCGGATTAAGTATCACCGTGATCGCCCTCCCAACGATCAGAATAAAGTAAAGCTTGAAATTTATTAGTTCCTCAACCTCTCTAGTTTGGTGGACATTGGCTGCAGCAATAAACGAAACACGGAAAGGCTTCTTGTTTTGCCATCCCTTTCAAAAGAAGTATTAGATGTTACTATGAGAAAATTCATTTTAGGCTTTTCCTGTCACCAAACATAGAGAAAATTCATGTGACTCTAGCTCTAGATCAATTCTCACATATTAGAAGGGGTTTAGGGATTATTGATGAATCCGAAATGTATAATTAAGTACATGCAATTACTTGTCTTTATTATTTCATGTACATCATATTTAGTTTGCCTTAAAAAACAAAAAAAAAAAAACCGGGCGACGTTAGGTCAACCGGACCTACCCCTACGGTTGATCGGACCGACGGGGTTAAAGGGGTCTTCCCCTCTTTTTTTTTTTTTTTTCATTTTTTCACTCTCTCTTTCTTTTCCTCTTCCCCTCCATAGATCCGCCTTCAATCTCACCAAATTTTCAATCAATTCTCTAGATCTACTCCATATTTTAAAAACCCATCACTTCTTTTCCAAAATCCAAAAATCTCCATTTTTCTTCCACTATAACTTTCTCTTTCTTGCTATTTCGGTCAACCGCCTCTTTAGCAATTTTTTTTCCCATTCTTCATCATGCAACGGGTTAAGGTTCCAAGTAAGAAACCACGGAGGGAGAGGGTGCCAGATTCTTCTTCATCGGAGGATGAGCCCGAGGTGCGGGAAAATCACTTTGATAAATCACCTATCCTTATAGGTAAAAGTGTAGATTTTGCAATTTTTTCTCTTCAAGCACCTAAATTTCATATTGAAGATTTTTTTCTTAGGTCTATGTTGGGTCTCTATTACCTCTATGGATGAATATGCATATCCTAAACTCATGAGAGAATTTTACAAAAATATAGTATATACTCCTCGTACGGGTAGCATATCTTGTTTTGTAAAAGGAAAACGTCTTACAATAACTAAATCTCTTATACGTTCTCTTCTTGCATTAGAAGAATGTCCGAACCAAATATTTTGTCATATGGCTCACCCACATCATAACGATTACAATCCTATCATTGCATGTCGTAGAGTTATCGGAAAAGACTTTGCACATCCGATAAAACTTAGTATTATTCTCCCTAGGAAAGGTCATCTTGATGAAGTTACTCACTTCGACCTATTCCTTCTTGATTCCTTTTTGGTCGGACGAAAATTGGATTTTCCAACAATTGCCTTCGGTCACATGAAACTCGTCCACTCCGCTACTCGCATCAAAGCTTTACCCTACGGCATGCTCCTCACTAAAATTTTTAAACATTTTGAAATTCCTCTAAATGGTGAGGTCTTCGAGTCACTTCGTCCCACCGACACTATCAATATTCACACTCATAAACGGATGAAAATTCTTAAGGAACGTGGGCAATGGGTGGCCCGTACTAAGGGTTTTGATTCGGACTCGGGACCTTCAACTCTACCTCTTGAAGAAGCTAAAGACTATCGTGAGGATGACGTCCCACAGGTTCCTAGTCCTCCTCGTGACATCTCTGGATAGAGTGCTCCACCACCTTTCGGAAGCTTTACTTTTACCAAGGACCACTACAATCTTCTCAACAGTCGCATCGATTCCCTCACATCCTCCGTCGACGGGCTTGGCGGGATGCTTCACCGTTTGCAAGTCCAACAAGATGCAATGCAGGCTCAACAAAATGCCTTTTATGCTCGGTTCGATGCACTCTTTCCACCCCCACCTCCTCCGAATTCTTAGATACCTTTTATGCATATGTACTTTAAAGCTTATGTTGAACTATTTTCTTTGTTACTTTTCATACTCCAACCTATCTATGCCATATCTTATGTTGTATTCCACTCTTAAATGCCATATTTTTTTGCTTATGATAAAAGGGGGAAAATGAAATGATGATGTTATGATGATAATATGAAATGATGATATGCTTGATAATAATCGAAAACGTGTGCCTTTATAAACATATGTTTTAAAGCATTCAATTATTGGTTTGTAAAAAATATGGGAATATATGATCACATGCAAAACTTAAGATTCCTTACCATTTGTTCAAAATTATCTTCCTAATAATCTTGTTTGTCATAATCAAAAAGGGGGAAAATTGTTGACCTATGGTTAATTTGAAACCTTTTGATTATAACAAACAAGTTGGTCTTATTTATTAACGAATTGATTTCAAGTGATTATAGACTTTCAAACACGTACAAAGGAAAATTGATCAATGGTCGTTAAAAAACCAAAAGCTATCATCACAAATCGGAATCTTAAAACAAGTCAGGATCGAAGCTACATTCAAGATATGAAGAGCCAAACTTTGAAACAAGATCAAATACTCGTTTCTTAGCTAAGAATGTAAATGTACTAACACTTTTGATATATGACATGAATGACAATAAGCTCAAAACCGTTCCATGCATTAAAAACAACTTGGTGCATTAAAAATCGATGATTTGATCAAGGGAAAAATGAATTTTAAAAATAACTCTTGGACTTATAAAATATTTTTTATCTTGAAAAGTTTGTGTAAAATGATTTTTTCCTTCCCTCTGATCGGAGACGTGCGGGTTGCCGGAATTCGCTGACAATGTCTGCTCTTCATTGGTCGGGAATATCGTTGCCGAAGTTGGGGGAAATTGGTTGAAGGGGAAAGAGGAAGTGGGAGTGGGAGTGATATGCCAACAGGTTGAGGAGGAAATGGGTATCGTGAAATTGGGTTTCTCTCCAAGTGAGAATGGCTTTGGTTCTAAATTGGGTTTTCTCTCCAATAAAAACCATTTATTTTAAAAGCCTATTTTTTACTCTGTTTCTAAGTCTGTCCGAGTAGCTTTAGTG